AATGTGGCTGGTTGCTGTGAGTGGCAGAGCTAGTATCTGGGTTCTGTATCCCATGTGATGCAGGCCCAGGGACCTTCTTCTATCACCTTCCAGGCTTTTATCCTGGAGAAATCTGAGAACAGATATTTTTGTGTAGTCGCAGCCGGAGGAGTATAGAATAGATAAAGGACAATACTCCTGGCCTAGCGCCTTTATTTAGTTAGCTATTAGAAAAGACTCAACTTACTCTAGGGGCCAAGTACAGCGAAGTTCTGGTACTTAACATTCTTAAATCGTGTAATCTCACGATGCGAATCCCTGTGGGGTAGGTGCTATTCAGTTCCATCTTGGCAGTCGGGATGAAATTGAGGCTCTGTAGTGGGATAAGTCCCTGCAAGCCAACCCAGCTGGCAAATGGCGATCCTTAACTGGAGCTTGTACAGTGTCCAGGTCCCACCGAGCCACTGCCTCACTGACATGACCGTGGTTGATGGCACCCAGGTGACTGCTAACATTCATATGATGTTTTAATAGAGTCAGACATGCCGCTGAGGCCAGGTTGCAGCCCAGCTCTGCCTGCCACTTCTGAGTCTCTCACACTGTAGGCAGATGGGGTCTCACCAGAGAGGCCGGGCTTCGGCAGAGGGGCCTCGTCAGGGTGAGGGATGGGTTTGGGGGAGGGCAGAGGGTTCCAGAGCCAGGCCAACCAGGTGACAGCTGCCGCCTTGCAGTGAATGGTGGCTGGTCCAGCTGGGCAGAGTGGTCACCCTGCTCCAACCGCTGTGGCCGAGGCTGGCAGAAGCGCACCCGGACCTGCACCAACCCCACCCCACTCAACGGAGGGGCCTTCTGCGAGGGCCAGGCCTTCCAGAAGACTGCCTGCACCACCATCTGCCCAGGTAAGGTGCCTCATCCATGCCCAGCCCCACTCTGAACCCTGTCCCACCTTCTGTATTGTGTGCCAGAGCCAGGACAGCCGTTCTCTCCCTAGCATGGAGAGCAGAAGGTGCTTGTCCCAAGCCCACAGCTGGCTGCCCAGGCTGACGAGATGCTCTGATCTCTGACTTATTCTGCCCTGGGCTGCTGGTGAGATAGAGGCAGAGGGTCTGAGTGGTGGCCCCTTCTCCCTGACCCTCTAGCCTGGGCCTTCTGTCCTCCAAGCTGAGGGTTCTCAGTGTCAGTGTGTCAGCCCCAGGCCAAGGTTTCAGAGGGGCAGCCTCAGGGACAGCCTCTTGCCCCTAACTGTTAAGACACACCGTGGCCACAGACCCTATTCACACTGACAGCCATCCTCCTATTCCTCTCTCTGTGCAGCCCCTCTGCTCCCCTACCCCCACACATGTGCTGTGTTCTCTCCCTTGGGTTGTATGTTTGTGCCTACACTGTTTTTCTTTACCCTGGGTTTGTGTCTTTGTGTGTAAATTGTGCACTGGGCTGTATCGTGTTGATGACCTTATGCATCTATCTGTACCCTCTTTGTCCACCTGCCAGGTGCATCTGGCTGTTCATTGGCATGGGGCTATGTGGATATCATGTGGATTTCTCTGTGTGGCACACATGTGTCCTGGGTTCCTCATTTCCTTCCACAGTGTGTATGCATGCATGTGTGTTGGCGCACTGCTGTGTTCTGCACACGTAATTATGTGTGCACATGTCCCTGCGTGCACATGTCTGTGCGTGCACATACTCCTGTATGCCCTGCTCTTACAGTCGATGGGGCGTGGACGGAGTGGAGCAAGTGGTCAGCCTGCAGCACTGAGTGTGCCCACTGGCGTAGCCGCGAGTGCATGGCACCCCCACCCCAGAACGGAGGCCGTGACTGCAGCGGGACGCTGCTCGACTCTAAGAACTGCACAGATGGCCTGTGTATGCAAAGTGAGTCACAGGGAAGGTGGGGCCCTGGGGATGGGGACTCTGGAGCCATGTAAGGGTCTCCCAAACCCCAGCCCCATGCCTCAGTGCCCAGCCTGCAGCATGGCAGTCCTCAGGGCCTCTGTCCCCCGCACCACATCCATCATCTCATCTCATCCTTCCCATTGCCTTCTCTGCCACTATTTCCCTGTCACCTATGTCATTGTCTTTCCCTTTATTTCCCTTGACAGATAAGAAAACTCTAAGCGACCCCAACAGCCACCGTAAGTCCCCTTTCATGGCTGTCCTCTTTCCTCTGGGGGATCCCTGGTTCTCTTTGGCTGGCTTTTCCCGGGATCAGGGTGCAGGGCAGGGAGAGCTGAAGGTGCCGCCCTACCCACCCTCCATGGGACCATCTACACCTGACACTGCATGTGTCTGCATCTCCATCACCGGCAGACAGGCAAACCCTTGGCTGACAAAAAAGAAAGGCCCTAGGACACCCTACTGAGCTTCCTCTCATAGGAGGGGAAATTGAGTCTCAGAGAGAAGAAGGGACTTGGCCAGAGACACAGGCAAGAAGTAGCAGAGTGAAGATTTGAACCCAAATATTTTTATAGCCAAAGCTGGTGTTCTTAACCATATGCTCTTGGCCCTCCTCTCTGGACCAGGGCCGGGACATCACCACTGCAGTTCCCCCTCACGCCCCTTGCTGTACCTCCGCCCCAGCAGCTGGGCCAAGCCTCCCAAATGGTCTGTGATGCCCGCTGCCCTGTGTCAGCTCCAGGGGGTGCGCTCTCCAGCCCCAGAGGCTGCACCGCCACTGCAGTCATACCAGAGCAGCAAAGCCACTTGAGCAGATTGGCCCATGGTAATTAAACCACAATTTCCAGATAGTTCTGGAATCATAAAATCAGTGAGGCCCTTGGCTGAGCTCACTGGGGCTCGGGCTGGGGATGATTCGAGTGTAAATCACCAGGCAAGTGGCCCCAGTGTTAGTGAGGGCAACAGGAGGCAGAGCCAAGCTGGGGGAGCCATTTCTTTGCTGAGCCAGGAGCCCAGCCCTGAGGGGGAGCCCAAGAGTGAGGGCTGCTGAAGAGAGATACTGGGGGACAGAAGTTGGAAGTGGGCAGACATCCGGGGCTGGGAGCCATGCCCTGCCTTGCTGAAAGCCTCAGGCTGACCCCAAGTGCAGGGTATGGAGGACTCCAGGCAGAGGAAGCAGGCCTACTTCTCTGAGGGTCCCCCAGGGAGGGAGCGCATGGACAGGTGCTTCCTGGAGCTCCTGAAGGAAGCAAGGGGAAGAGCAGCCATCTTGGCTGCCAATTTTGCTCTCCCTGAACTGTCCAGTGTGGAAGCCACCAGCCACATTTGGCCGTTTAAACTTTTATTTAGCTTAATTAAAATTTAATAATTTTTTTAAAATTCAGTTCCTCAGTGGTACTGGCCACATTTGAGTTGTTCAGGAGCCATACGTGACTAGTGGCTGCATACCGGATACTGCAGACATAGGATATTCCACCACTGTAGAAAGCTCCACCAGAGAGCCCTACTTCAGACCCTGCCACTTTGACCTTGAGGCTTCCTGCCTGGCCATGTTTGCCTGGGGGAGGAAAGTGTAGCCATGGGTTACCTCCCTGGGCCCATCCTTCTCCCCACATGCCCACCTCTTCTCCACCGCATTGCTGTGCATCTCATTCCACTCCTTCAGCTCCCCATGCCTCTACCTCCCACCCTCAGAGCATGGAATGGAAGAAGAGTTCAGAACAGTTACTTACAAAGATAACAGAGCCAGAAGAGCTTATCCACGTACCAAGCTAACAGAGCCAGGGCCTTTGGTCCTGTGGAAATTGCTGCAGACTCAGAGGTTTCAACCCCAGTGCTCACAGGGCAAATTATGTTGCCGCATGGCCCCGAGCCACAGACCCTGTCTCCTCAGCAGCGAGCAACAAGTTAACAAATGGTGTGAACATGTTTGTTCTTTTCTTCTCATGCCACAACTAGAAGGGCAGTAAGGCAGGGACTTCGAGCCCATTTTACTGATAGAGAGGTTCAAGGCTAGCCTGAGGTTGCCAGCCTGTGTAGGCGGGGCTCAGACTGGAACTCAGCACCGTGCTGGTTGGCCCTGGGCCCTGCCCTTTCCAGGGACCCAGGGCCTCCCTGACTCCCCCAGGGCCTGGTGTCTGTGCTGCCCCTTATGTGGTCTTCCTGTCCCCGCAGTGCTGGAGGCCTCAGGGGACGCGGCGCTGTACGCGGGGCTCGTGGTGGCTGTCTTCGTGGTCGTGGCAATCCTCATGGCGGTGGGGGTAGTGGTGTACCGCCGCAACTGCCGTGACTTCGACACAGACATCACTGACTCATCTGCCGCCCTGACTGGTGGTTTCCACCCTGTCAACTTCAAGACGGCCAGGCCCAGTAAGAACCTGAGGATGTCTGGGGTGGTTGGCAGAGGCAGGATACCCAGAGGGCTCTGGTGGTACCCAGACCAGAGCCAGGCTCCTGACTCCCTCCCGGGGTTTTTCCATAGAGATAACTATGTGGATGGGTATGGATTAGAGAACTACAGAGAAGGAAGGGAGTGACCCAGGCTGCGGGAGTCCCAAAGCTTCCCGCAGCTGGCAGCAATTGAGCCTTTCACAGCTGGACATTTGGGTGGGATTTTGCAGTGGGAGCTGGGCCAGTGAGATGGGGCACAGCTGGGTCTGACTATAGCCCCCACTCCTGCAGACAACCCGCAGCTCCTACACCCCTCTGTGCCTCCTGACCTGACAGCCAGTGCCGGCATCTACCGTGGACCCGTGTATGCCCTGCAGGACTCCACCGACAAGATCCCCATGACCAACTCTCCTCTGCTGGACCCCTTACCCAGCCTTAAGGTCAAGGTCTACAGCTCCAGCACCACGGGCTCTGGGCCAGGCCTGGCAGACGGGGCTGACCTGCTGGGGGTCCTGCCGCCGGGCACATACCCTAGTGATTTCACCCGGGACACCCACCTCCTGCACCTGCGCAGCGCCAGCCTTGGTTCCCAGCAGCTCTTGGGCCTGCCCCGAGACCCGGGGAGCAGCGTCAGCGGCACCTTTGGCTGCCTGGGTGGGAGGCTCAGCATTCCTGGCACAGGTGAGCCCCTGCTCTGCTTGTGTGTCGGCCTGGCCTCAGCACCTCCTCTGCGGACTGCCCCCACACCCATCCAGCAGAAGACAGGGCTGCCCTAATCCCATATCACAGATGGGGAAAGGGAGGCCTGGTGGCAGGAAGTGAGTATAAAATAGAGAGGTCTGACTAGAAAAGCTAGGCTTCAGGCCTGCCTGTGCCCTCACTAGGGCAGAGGAACCCTGGGCCAGCCACCTTCTAAGCTTCAGTGTCTCTATTGTGTGAGAGAAAATAGTACTATGTAGTTCAGCAGACCTACAAAGCACGGTCCTAGAACTAGCAGCAGAGGGGCAGGGGCGCCCATCTTAGTTTGCAAAGCCAGCAATTAACAGCTTCCCAGCACCGTACACTAAGCTAGGAGTAGGGCTGGCACTTGGACCTCCAGACCCCATAGCAATGTCAGAGACCCCTGTCTTCCTAGACAAGCCAGCACTGGTCAGTGGCCTGGCCTCTGCTTGCATCCAGTCCCCAGACCCCCTCCCACCCCTGGCTGGTGACCACCTGGAGCTCAGGAGATATCTTTCTCTCCCAGCCCCAAACTGGGGCCAATTTCCCAAACCCTTGTTCTCCTGAGCTCCTGGACTCCCTGCTGACCTCCGTCTCTCCCTAGGGGTCAGCCTACTGGTGCCCAATGGAGCCATTCCCCAGGGCAAGTTCTACGAGATGTATCTACTCATCAACAAGGCAGAAAGCACCCTGTGAGTAGAGCCCCAGCCCCTGCTCCTTTTTCTTCCTCCCATCCCTTGCTGCGTGCCCACACTTGGCGCGCCTTCTAAACCTGGTGCTAAGACCAAACAGTCCTCCAAGGAAAGCATTAATCTTACTGGGTCCATGTTTAAAACTTGCAGAACCAATACCATAAATCGTAAAACTCAAAGGCAATTGACAAGCTGGCTACAAGTATGACAAAGGGCTGAATATCCTTACTGTGTAAAGAGACTTTGTAGATCAATAAGAAAAAGTAAACATCTCACTGTGAAAATGGGCAAAGGATATGAACAAGTGATTCACACACACACTCTCACACAAACACACTGGCCAGTAGGTTATGAGAAAATGTTCAGTCTAATTTGCGGTCAGAGAAAACTAATGAAAAAAAACATGAGGTATATTGGGATTTTATTATTATTGTTATATTATTATTAAGGAATTTGCAAGGACCTTTTTCCGAATGATAATACCCTCTTGCTGGCAAGAGGGTGGGAACATGGCCTTCTGTGGCACGTGGGCGGGAGTAGAGATTGGAACCAGCTCTCTGGAGGGCACTTTAGCGTAACCTATTGAATACCTTCCAAAATTACACAACCTTGGAAAATGTAAGCAAGGAATTCTGAGCTATGATAATGTTGCAGTGAAACAGCAAAAATCTGGAAACAACCTCAAGATTCATGCCATTTTCTTTGCCTCCTTTGCCCCCATGACCTCTGGGAATGCAGAGTCCTGAGTGGCAAAGAGCTGCCCTCCACCTCCCGGGCCCTGGGCAGGCTTGGGAGCCCAGCAGGAGCCTGCACCTTTGCCGAGCTCTTCACTGCCTCCCTCCTACCCTGTGTCCTCCCCCAGCCCGCTTTCAGAAGGGACCCAGACAGTATTGAGCCCCTCGGTGACCTGCGGACCCACAGGCCTCCTGCTGTGCCGCCCCGTCATCCTCACCGTGCCCCACTGTGCCGAAGTCAGTGCCGGTGACTGGATCTTTCAGCTCAAGACCCAGGCCCACCAGAGCCACTGGGAGGTGAGGAGCCAGGGTGAAGGTTGGCCCAGCTCTCCCAACCTGCCCAGGGAGGCAAAAGAAAGCCCTTTTCCTCTGGCCCAGCCTCAATAACTGTGACCACTACCCCACCCTTGCTGTCCCCTACAGGAGGTGGTGACCCTGGATGAGGAGACCCTGAACACACCCTGCTACTGCCAGCTGGAGCCCAGGGCCTGCCATATCCTGCTGGACCAGCTGGGCACCTATGTGTTCACGGGCGAGTCCTATTCCCGCTCAGCAGTCAAGCGGCTCCAGCTGGCCGTCTTCGCCCCCGCCCTCTGCACCTCCCTGGAGTACAGCCTCCGGGTCTACTGCCTGGAGGACACACCTGTAGCACTGAAGGTAGGGCCAGCTGCAGGTGCCCACACAGCCCTGGCCGGCCAGCTGCATGATCCCTGCCAGCATCCCCCTCACCAGGCTCATGGGCCCTCCCAGGAACCCTTCCCCACCACCAGCCTTATTAGGTCACGCATGCGGCCCTCACACACTGAAACAGCTTTGGGCACAGGGCCTGTCTCACCAAGATCCAGGTTAGAGGTGGGAGGCAGACCAGGGATCCCTGAAGGCTCTGATGGGGTCTGCCCCAGGACCGAGGGAGCATGAGACCAGGAGGGGCTTGGGCTGGTGGGGAGGGTCTCTGGGAAGGCTGACATGTAGGAGTTTCAGCAGAGAGGAGTGAAGGGCATTCCAGACTGACGGAAATGACTGCGTTTCATATGCGTTTCAGCTGAAAGGCATAGGGAATGTGTGAATGTGAGGGCAGGAGAGATGGGCAGGGCTCAGCCTCCCAGGAGCCTGTGCCAAGGAATTTGGAATCCACGCGGCAGGAAGGGGAATGGACCTGGTAGACACCTGTTCACAGGTGCTCTTTAGAAAGCCCCTGTGGCTATACTTGGGGTGGGTAGATGAGAGGGGCTGGCCCCTGGGCCACAGGGAGTGACAGCAGCCAGGAGAGGCAGGGCTGGATGCTGTGTGTGCTCAGTGGAATGGACAGACTGATGGGATGGGCAGTGGGAGGGGAAGTTAAGGCTGACAGCCAGGCTCCTAGCATGTGTAGAAGGATGGAGAGCCATGCCCCAAGTGAAGGAAGGGTCGTGCAGATGAGGGGTGGTCGGGACAGGAGGGAGGGAAGCAGAGGGGAGGGTCTTATAGTACCGAGAGCCTGATGATGGCAGGTATGGAGCCCTGTGTTAGCACCACTATTCCCTGCCAGCCTTAGAGCCCTTGTGCATTCCCCCATTCTCAGGAGCTCAGGCTCATCCTGATATAACCCTGGAAGCATACAGATACTTGGTTGTGTGTGAGCCTGTTCCCCTCCCACCTCCCATCTGCCCTCCTCAGTGCCTCATGGTCCTTTCCCATGGCTCCATGCACCCCCCATTTCTGCTGCCTGGCCCCATCCAGCTCCTTCATCTCCCAGACTCATGGGACTTGTCCCAAAGCCCACACTGCAGACAGCATAGGTGAAAGAGGCCCATGGGAGAAGGAGTGTCCCTTGCTGGGAGGACACTGGCTTGAGATGCCAGTGGTCCTGCAATGGGTGGGAGGTGCCTGGGAAGTGCTCCTGCAGCTGGATCTCTTGGTCCTGGGGCATTGGCTAATGGCCAGCTTTGGCCAGAGAGTGCTATAGAAATCAAGAGGGAAGTTACCAGGTTTTGGCCTGATGGCATTCTTTGTTTATTCAACCCTCCATCCATTATCCATCCATCTGTCCATCTGTTCATCCATCCATCCGTCTTTCTGTTCATCTGACCATATACCCATTCAGTCAGCAGCCCATCTGTTTACCTATTCATTACTCTTCTATCTATTCATTTATCTTTTCTTCCATCTTTCTGTTCATACACCCATCCTTGTACATCCATCTGTATATTCATCTGTCTGTCTTTCTAGCCATCGATCTGTTTATCCATCCATCTGTCCATTTATTAGTCCCTCTAGCCATACGATCATCTATGGATTCATTCATCTAGTCATCTTTCCCACTGTCTGTCCATCCATCCATCATCCATTCATCTTCTCACACCATAAGCCCTCTGTGAGCTCTTGCAAATGCCCAGCCACGCACTCAGATGGGCCCCTGACTCCTGCCCTGCAGAGTGCAGCAGAAGAGGCCCATTGGCCAAGTGTGATGGGTTCCCCTTCCCCATGCCCCTGGCCCACAGGAGGTGCTGGAGCTGGAGCGGACTCTGGGTGGCTACTTGGTGGAGGAACCAAAACCCCTGATGTTCAAAGACAGTTACCACAACCTGCGCCTCTCCCTCCATGACCTCCCCCATGCCCATTGGAGGAGCAAGCTGCTGGCCAAATACCAGGTGAGGGCTGGGCTGATGGGTGGGGAGGGGCAACACTTAAGGGCTGCCTGGGAAGACCAGCTCCCTCCCGGGCTCTGCCTCCCGGCTCTGCCCTGCGGCCTCCCTGGGTCTCTCACAGTCTGTCTTCTCCCAGCCCAGTCTCCAGGCTCCCAGCCATCCCCAAGCACATCCCCAAATTCAGGGCAGTGGGTAACCACATGTACACTTCTGCCCTGTCACATCCCTACACGCACAGATGCCTGTGCCCTTCATCCTCACAGAGGCTCCCCACCCTTCAGGGCATGCCCTCCTGGCAGACTGTCCATCTCACCTGTGACAGCCACAGCCTGCTGCTGCCCACGCAGCAGCACCTGAGACCATGAGGCCCCCCAGCCCCCAACACACACACACCTGTGCCTTTCCTTCCCTCACGTACTCCGCCTCAGCTCCCTTCTGGAACTGAGGGTCTGACACCAACTCAGCTGGCTAGCTTAGGGCACTTGACCTCTCCCCATCTGGGTGGAGAGACCTGAACTGCCCACCGAAGCTCCCTGAGCTCTCCCTGAGTCTCCATTTCCATGAGGACAGGGCAGGCTGGCCTTGCCTGCCTGGTCCTGACCCCCTCCTCCTGCAGGAGATCCCCTTCTATCACATCTGGAGCGGCAGCCAGAAGGCCCTCCACTGCACTTTCACCCTGGAGAGGCACAGCTTGGCCTCCACAGAGCTCACCTGCAAGATCTGCGTTCGGCAAGTGGAAGGGGAGGGCCAGATATTCCAGCTGCACACCACTCTGGCGGAGGTGAGGGAAGGGGGTCAGATATTCCAGCTGCACACCACATTGGCGGAGGTGAGGGAAGGGGGGCCAGATATTCCAGCTGCACACCACTCTGGCAGAGGTGAGGGAAGGATGGCCAGATATTCCAGCTGCACACCACTCTGGCGGAGGTGAGGGAAGGGGGGCCGGATATTCCAGCTGCACACCACACTGGCGGAGGTGAGGGAAGGGGGGCCAGATATTCCAGCTGCACACCACACTGGCGGAGGTGAGGGAAGGGGGGCCAGATATTCCAGCTGCACACCATCTGGCGGAGGTGAGGGAAGGGGGGCAGATATTCCAGCTGCACACCACACTGGCGGAGGTGAGGGAAGGGGGGCCAGATATTCCAGCTGCACACCACACTGGCGGAGGTGAGGGAAGGGGGGCCAGATATTCCAGCTGCACACCATGCTGATGGAGGTGAGGGCCAGAGGACACCTCTAGGGTTTGGGGCTGGGCTGCAGCACGCAGACCCCTGTAGTTCCCTCTCACCTCCCAAGTCTGAGCAGACATTTGGTCATGTTTTGCTAACAAGCATCATGTATTGATTGAGTGTCATTCACATGCTTGGCATATACCAGAAAACTTACATGATCTCACTAAATCTTCACGAGCACCAGGAGATGCATGACAGATATGATCCCCACCTGGGAGGTGAGAACATAGGTTTTAGGAAGGGCAAGGATTTGCACACTATGCACCAATGGCAAGACTGGATTTGAACCCAGGTTGATGCAAGGACCAGGCCTATGGTTCTCAACCGTTATAAACCTGGATTGAGAGTAAATCCCAGGCCACCCAGGGTGACAGCACTAGATCCTCCTCGTGGGGCATTGTGAAGAGCACTGGATACAGGTCTGGACCCAGGTCTGCCACTAACTTGGCATGTGGCCATGAGCAAGCCACTCCCCTTTTCTAGACTTCACTTTCCACCTGTACAAATGGGTGCATGTGGATTAGACTGTGGCTGGGGCTCCTTGGGGCTTCCTAACTATGAGGCTGCATCTGCATTTGCCTGGGGCCTTAGGTAAGCATGGTGCATCCCCTGAGGCCTGGAGGATGTCCATGCAGGCCTTGCCCTTGGGAACCGACCCTTCAAGTGAGAAGCCCCTGCCTGAACAGTGGGAGCCTGTCCAGAGGAGGTGGGAGTGACTCAAGGCTCAATGAGCTCACAGTCCAAGGGGAGGGAGGCTGGAGAGCAGTGCCCAGCGCTGTGCCCCTCTCACTATTGGTCCCCACCCTTGCAGACACCTGCTGGCTCCCTGGACACTCTCTGCTCTGCCCCTGGCAGCGCCGTCACCACCCAGCTGGGACCTTACGCCTTCAAGATCCCGCTGTCCATCCGCCAGAAGATATGCAACAGCCTCGATGCCCCCAACTCACGGGGCAATGACTGGCGAATGTTGGCGCAGAAGCTTTCTATGGACCGGTGAGTATCCCAAACCACAGCCCACCCCCATCTGCCTTCGTCCTCAAGGTCTCACAGGGGCAGGCAGGGCAGGCAGCCTGACAGCCAAGACCAGCTCCTAGACCAGCCGCCCTTTTGCCACCATTTGTGGCAAATCAGGAACTCGGGACTGGATATGCAAAGTTCAAGAGTACTGCTCCCTCAAGGAGCATCATGCTCAGAGCACTGGTCGTCGAGCCGGGCAGACTCTCAGGCCCTGCTCTTTTCCCATTGTGCTGGGATAACGCTCCACCTGCCCATCTCACAGAACAGCAGGAGACTCAAAGCCAGGGCATCAGCTTGGTGCCATCATTGTCAGCACCTGGTGTCTAGGACAGAGAAGGTGCTCCGGAGATGCTTGCTGACTGGCTGAGATACACTTTGGTGTCAAAACTCTTTTGGAGAACTTCAAGTGCTGGATAAATGAATATAAAGCCAATGATAATAAGTATTATATGTATTGAAAGATGTGTAATAAACCTGCATTGAGCAGATGCTTTAGATAAGACATTTACTAGAAATGAGTAGGACTTACAAAGATGGCTAAGGCTTTGTTCCTCCTATCAGGGGAGTTCATGGGAGCAGGAGGGAACACAGGTGGGAGGAATGAGCACATGCTACACGTGGTCATTCTCTCTTGGGGCCAGTGTCTTTCAATGATAATAACGATGATGATGAACAAGATAGTTACATGCTAGAGACAACGCTAGACCCTTACTTTATATGATCTTGGATCTTGTTGAGAGGTAACTGGCATTGTTCCAGTTTTAGAGACAAGGAGACTAAGATTCTGAGCTCTAGGTTCTGACTTGCCCAGAGCCACACAGACCGCAACACAGTAGCTGGAATTCAGACCCAGGACAGTAGGACACCAAAGCTCACAGCCTTCCCACTTCCCCTTGTGCCCCTTCACCCCCAGGCTCCAGGAAGGAGCTAAGTGCTTGGGGACCTCAGTGCCCTCCTTCTCTCTGCCAGGTACCTGAATTACTTTGCCACCAAAGCGAGCCCCACGGGTGTGATCCTGGACCTCTGGGAAGCTCTGCAGCAGGACGATGGGGACCTCAACAGCCTGGCGAGTGCCTTGGAGGAGATGGGCAAGAGTGAGATGCTGGTGGCTGTGGCCACTGACGGGGACTGCTGAGCCTCCTGGGACGGCAGGCTGGCAGGGACTGACAGGTGGCAGGTGCAGGGAGGCCTGCGGGAGCCTCCTGATGAGGATGTTTGGCCTCTGCTTCCTCCCAGTTCACAGCCAGAGTTGCCTCTCCTCCTCCTCTTCCCCAACCCCCAGACCACAACCAGCCTTAGAAAATCCATGTACTCTGTTGTTAGAGGGCCCAGAGTTCCTTCTCCATCCCCGTTCTCTGTCTGTTGGCCTGAGATCTCCGTGCGGGAACCAAGATGGGGCTGAAGCCTCTGGAGGCGGTTGGGGCAAGCAGGAGGCCCTCCCTCCACCCCCCTACCCTCAGCCTGGCAACTTCTGAGTTCCATGGGTTTTAGTTCCGTTCTTCATTTTCTTCCTCCCTTATTGATTTATCCTTTCTCCCTAAGCCCCCTTCTGCTTCCACGCCCTTTTCCTCTTTGAAGAGTCAAGTACAATTCAGACAAACTGCTTTCTCCTGTCCAAAAGCAAAAAGGTAAAGGAAAGAAAGAAAGCTTCAGTCCGCTAGTAAGGCTCAAAGAAGAAGAAAAACACCAAAACCACAAGGGAAAAGAAAAACCCAGTTTCTTAGGAAACGCTAATGATTTATTATCCAGATTATTTGGATAAGTCCTTTTTAAGAAAAAAAAAAAAAGAAAATGAAAAACAACACAAAAAAATAGAAAACTCTTTTCTTGAGTGTGGATGAGAATGGGCACACTCACACTTCTGGCCAGGAGTGAATGTGCCTCTGTGTGTGTGTGTGTGTGTGTGTGTGTGTACATGTACGCGTGTGCATTGGGGAGAGAGAGACTGAACAGAGAGTACTTTGCTGCTAACAAATCCATCTTGGACTGAATTCTGACAAGGCCTCAGTTTCCCCAGTTGTGCAGGGAGTAGATCAGACAGGGTTTTCACTGTCTAGATTTAGCTGGCTAGATTTCCCTCTAAAATCTTAAGCAGATACTGAATCCGTAAAGCCAAGGAGTGCTAAGGGCTGGAGTGGGTGGGCCCTCCCTCCCACAGCCCCAGGGAGATACCTCTGGGCTCCTGGGAATCTGGATTAAGAAAGTTGGGATGAAAGAGGAGGCCGGCTGTGAGCCAGGGAGAATGTTCCAGTCTGGTTTTGGTCTGGTGGCTCCTAGAAAGGGATGTGGCTCAGAAGTGGGACTCAAACAGAGAGACGAAGTGGGGGAGGAAAGTCCTCTACAGACATCTCTCTCCTGGGGGCTGGATAGCTTTACCCTAAGGTGGGGCCAGCCCTGACACCCTCATCCCATCCTCAGCCCAGCAGCCTCTGGAGCAGGGTGACGCTCTCTTGATGGCCAGGAATCCAGAATCCGCCCTTCCCGAGCCTTGGTTTCTCCTTCTGTAAAGCAGAGTGATGGCTGAGAGGTCCTTTCTAGCTCCAGAAGCCGGAGCTTCCCAGTGTCAGTCAACCCTGCAGTGTGGGAGGCTGGGAGGCGGGTGGCCTGGCTGTGCTTTGCATGCCCAGGAGTGGAGGAGGAGGCTGAGAAGCTGGTTTCCCAGCTCTGATCTCCACAGGCACCTCCTATAACCCTCCTCTTACCCACCCCGCCATGGTCTAGGAGATCTGAAATAACCTTTCCCAGTGGGTGGGATTGCCAGGGTAGAGGGGACGGCACGCACTACCCCCACCCAACCTGTTCCAGGGGCCCTGCATGGTGCAGGATGAGTCTCTGCCCTGTGCAACTGCCTGGCAGTGGCTGGGACAAGGATCTTGCAGCCAGCACAGAGGCCTCATCAAAGGCCTCTCCCTCTTGGCACTCCAGGCAGGGCAAGTGCCAGCTTCCCCAACACTTCCGGGCAGTGACCCTAGGGCGTGCCCCAGCAGGCCTCTGAGCAGCCACTGGGACCCGTCTCAGCACATCCTGGCCTTTGAAAGTCTGATATCCTGAGAGGAGGGCAGGTTTTAGGGCTGCAGTTCCAGCCAGCGTCCCCAGCTTGGCTTCTCTGCCATGGACTCGGCAGCTCGCGGGGCTTCTTACCACCCACCAGCCCCCTGGGGTGTGGCCTGGCTGTGGGCAGAGGAGGACTTGCCTGGAGATTTGAGAGAGGATTCCTTCTACCAGGGCTGCTGAGGGCCAGGTCTGCATCAGGGGCTGGACCCTGACTGGGTCTGGAGGCTGAGACTAAGGCTCTCAACCCTGGTGCCTCCAGGCACCAGGATGCTGCCTCGGATGAAGGAAAGTGCCAGATGACGGGCATTTTCCCTGCCGAAGTGCCCGTCCCATGGGCTCAGCCTCACTGGTCACTGTTAGCCCATGCACACGTGTGGGCCTCAGTCACGTGGCTTTGAGGGCAGTCTGACCAGGCTAGACCACACGTGCCGTGACAGGGGGTGCCATTCCCCTTGCAGGCTCTGACATGTCCACATGCAGCCTGGCCGTCCAAAGACCAGGAATCGAGTTGCAAATCTGCCATTAAACTGCTGTGCGACTTCCGGCATATCACTACCTTCTCTGGGCTTCAGTGTCCTTTTCATACCTAGAATGCTGCAGTCTGAGGCTCTTTGGGTTCAGACACACCGTTGTAGGCTTCCGTAGGGGACCCTGTGATCTGCCGTGCCCCTCCTCCCTGTTCTTTTCTGTCCTCCCCGCCCCACCCTCAGAAGCTGCTTGCTCTGCCCCCAAGACAGGAGCTTGACGGATGAGGTGCAGCCAGCCACCCAGGTGCCATTTCCAGTCTGACTTCTGGAAATGTGCACCATGTCCTAGAGCACAGACCCATTGACTGGAGCCTCCTGGGAGGGTTCAAACCGTCCAGCTCTACGAGAAATGCCCAGAAAGAATTTGCCGACTCCATCCGTCTGTGGAGGCTGTCTGCCTCCAGGGTGGAATCGGTGGTTTCTCCTCCAATTCAGACCCGAGAGGTAGCCCCAGAGGGCATGTACCTGGTGGGCAGCAGCTCAGGTACCGTTGGGGGTTGCAGGGCCCTTACGCAGGTGTTTCTCTCTCTCTCCTCTCTGGGGTGCGCGTGTGCGTGCGCGTGCGTGTACCTGTGCTGTTCTCTGTGAGCACATCAGGGTGCCCCTCCGAGAACACGTGCACGTGTCCCCACCTGAGCAAGCGTGTGTGTGTGCTCCTCTGCGTCCCAGGTTTGGACGTCTGGAGGTTGGTGTGCCTGTCTTCTGCCCTCCCTGAGCCCACAGGGTCAGTCAGTGTATCTTCTACGTGCCTCTCCCTCTGCCTTCTCTCACAGTGCCCCCGGCTCCAAAGCTCAGGGGTAGGGGTTCTCCTGAAGGTGCAGGGGACCCTCCTCATCTCCTGGACCCTCCAGGGCACTCTGGTCCCTATTCCCCAGCTCCCAGGCAGCTGAGCCGGGTCTCTTAGGGGAGGTGACCAGCAGCTTCGGTGCAGGGAGCTCTTGGTGGGGCAAAGGGCTGGACCCCTGCCAGGTCCGTGGACATGGTTATATGCCCGGGAGGGGCGGGTGCAGGGCCCCAGGGATGGCCCCCAACCCCACCTCTGTTTATTCTGTAAACTACAACCTATAAATAACCTTTAGCATTCCTATTGTAACAAAATTAATTTTTATGAAATAAATTATATTTCCTAGTCTAATAAAATCTGGGTTGCATTTGGCTGTCTTCCTGTTGGTAATTGGGAATGACTGTGTTGCTCTTCTCAAAATTCCATGGAAGGTGGAGGTGTCATTGTCAGTTCAGAGCTATCTGACCCCCAGGAGATGAGCAAGCCCAACTGCCTCATTTTATAGAAGGGAAAACTGACTCAGAGAGGTGTGAGGACTTCCCTAGAGTCACACAGCAAGGAGGAGCCCGTGGTGCATCTGGATCCCGGTCCCTGTGCGTCCGGATCTGTTCAGGAGTTCATCGTGTGAGTCTGCCAGGGGCTAGGTAATGGGTGAGAGGGATGACACAGAGATGAAGCCCCAGCATCCCTGACCGTCTCTGAGGAGTTCAGAAGGGAGTATCCCCAAGGGTGCTGAGGCTGCAGGGTCAGTTCAGAAATCTCACCTAGGATATATGACTATTGTGCAGGCTGAAAGGAAGTGATGGGCAGGTTGGGATCATATGACTCCACCCCAGGCTGCCAGGCATGGTTGGGCAGGTAACGCACTGGGCAAGAATACCATATCTAAAGGGGAGGGTGGCTCCATTCCCATGTATGTATGTTGTAGATTTGTGTATTTGCTGAGATGTTTCCAGCAGATGGCAGTAAAGGGGTCTTGTGCTAATAAAAGGAGTACCTTGCTATCGAGGAGAGGTTGTTCTAACGTGCACAGAAGTGTTGTAAGAAGACTAGCAGCGACCCCATTTCAAGCTGGTCCCCTCCGGCCTGTGGACCTCAAGTCTTTCCTTTTGTGAGTTGAGTCTGGCCTGAGCATTTCCCAGCATGGATTGCCTGCTCCATTAGTAGGTTCTTTAAATTTGGGGTGACAGCACCCTCTGGCCCCATCTTGGACAGTCATGTTGCCCATCAGCATGTTAAAGGCTCTGAAAGGCCCTGCAAGAAGAAGCGGGTCTCCTCATATTAATGGAGATCCCAGATATATTTGACCTTGGAACTTGTTTTCACAACCTGAGTATGTGGTGCCTATAGGCCCTGCCAGCCCTGACTTTCTGGGACCTGTGGCTCTGGGTTCTATGTGGCTGTATCACCTAGCTGTCCCCCTGGGAATGGAGAACACCTGTGGGCTCGGTCTGAGACTGAAAGTTACCAAGATGAGAAAACCCACGTCTGTCCTCTGGCAGAGGAGGTGGGGCAGGCAGGGCACAGTGGCACCCACCTGCATGCAGATCCCCAGGCTCAGATCATCATCTTTCCCTGGGGACCCAGAGGACCTGAAACGGTCACATTCAGCATGACCTTCCTAGCAGAGATGATTTGGGGGTAAGGATTTATAAGGGAGAAGAAGAGGAAGGGGACAGCTTCATGAGGATGGGGGGTGAAAGGAGGGATACAGGGGGCGGGCAGCCGCCCAGCTAAGGAGTGGCCAGAGCCAGGCGTGGGGCAGCTATTCATGCAAGTAGCCCCCACAAGCAGGCAGACAGTCTGGGGTCCCCCGGGAGTCAAGGGGACCCATTTAAATTCCTTCATTCTCTACCTGCCACTGTCCCTTGGAAGCTCACCTAAAATCAGGTTGGGCAGCAGGTGGGGTGCAAAGAGTTCTGGTCCTGAAGGTTGGGGACCTGGGTCCCAGCCCTGACGCTGTGGAGTCACTATCCTTCCCTGAGCCTCAGTTTCCGCATCTGTGAAATGTGGGGTGTAGACCTGCTACCCTGTGAGAGCCCTCTGGCTGGTGTAATTCTGTAATTGGCGGGGCAGGGGTCAGGGTCCTGGCTCCAGGCAGGAGTGTGACAGCCGCACCCCTTGAAACCTCCTTTCTGTGCCAAGCCCAGGGGATGGTTGAGGGACAACCAGGAGAAGGCAGCAAAGGGGCTGGTTGCAGCCTGGGGCTGTGTGGGTGCCCAGTGAGGGGCCAGAGCCAATGGCACAAGAACCCTCCCAACCTGCCAGCCTGTCACAGCCAGCACACTGCAGGCCTGTCACTCGTGAAGGTGTGCCCCCTTCTCCACTAGGGACCCTAAGAAGAGGAAATCCACTCCAACTCCAGCTGACAGCTTGAGGTCAGACACAGGAAAACCTCATCTAGTACTGCCCAGCAAAGTTTCAAAACCTTTGTCCATTTTAATTGAAAATGATACAGCCTACCATTTTAAAAAAAGAAATCAAGAGGTACAACAGAATCGGTGAAAAGTAGATTTCCCTCCTTCCTCTGTCTCCACTTTGTTTCCCTCTCCACCCCGTCCCTAGTCCCCACCCCACTCCCATAGAGGCAATTGCTACAATTCTTCTGTAGCCTCCTAGGAAGATCTGTGCATACACAAACACATATTTGTAGGTGTAATTATTTAAATATAATGGGTTTGATCCAAAAGCCTCAAACCCTTGAGGTATAAACAGGTTACTAAGACGGTCTCATTTTGTTGCTAAGGCTCAACCAGACTATCCTGGAACTCCATCATCACCTTTAACTAAAGCTCTCCGAGAGCCCCAGTGCAGGACACTGAAGGCTGGGGCTGCCTGCCTCCCCCTCTCTCAACAGCGATGTCTCCCTCCTTCATCATTTGATAGGAAAAGCTGCCATCAAAACGCTTCTGTCTCCTGCACCAGCACGGGCATCTCACACGAAGACCCCAGCCTCCCTAGAACTGGGCCTGAAGAATCCAGTGACTTTTTGTTATCAACAAGACGCTGTCTCTTTTCTTTTTTTTTTTTTCTTCTTTTTTTTTTTTTTTGTTGTTGTTGATACGGAGTCTTGCTCTGTTGCCCAGGCTGGAGTACAGGGCCATGATCTCAGCTCACTGCAACCTCTGCCTCTCAGAGTTCAAGCGATTCTCCAGCCTCAGCCTCCTGAGTAGCTGGGATTACAGGTCCCCGCCACCACACCCAGCTAATTTTTGTATTTTTAGTAGAAACAGGGTTTCACCATGTTGGTCAGGCTGGTCTTGAACTCCTGACCTCAGATGATCCACCAGCCTTGGCTTCCCAAAGTGCTGGGATTACAGATGTGAGCCACCATGCCCGGCCAACAAGACGCTATTTCTACCATAACACCTGCCCTGCATAGAACATTCCAGGGACAGGCGGACCTAGAGATGAGGACTTCCCAAGTCCTGATTTTTCTTTTCTCTTTCTTTTTTTTTTTTTTTTTCTGAGATGGAGTCTTGCCCTGTCGTCCAGGCTGGAGTGCAATGGTGCAATCTTGGCTCACTGCAACCTCCGCCTCCCAGGTTCAAACGATTCTCCTGCCTCAGCCTCCTGAGTATCTGGGATTACAGGTGACTGCCCAGCTAATTTTTGTATTTTTAGTAGAGACAGCATTTCACCATGTTGGCCAGGCTGGTCTCGAACTCCTGACCTCATGATCCACCTGCCTTGGCCTCTCAAAGTGCTGGGATTACAGGTGTGAGCCACTGCGCCCGGCCCAAGTCCTGATTTTTCAAAACACAAATAGTTTAGGGGACAACCATGCTCTGGTTCAACAACCCATTCAGCCAATTGCATTGGTCACCTCCAGGGTAAAGGACAAAAGTTGCACAAAATGCCCTTGGGAGGCTACAATCAAAAGAGGAGACATGTCAACAGGGTGAGGGGCTTTGGAAGCTCAGAGGGACTCCTGACCAAGCCTGGGGGTCCAGAAAGGCTTTCTGGAAGAGATGATATTTTCCAACACTGGGGTTGGTTTCCCTGAGGCACAGCTTCTCAGGTATGCATTTTGTGGGAGACACTTGTAGGCAAAAGTTTACAATAGCTTTCTTTCATGAAACTTCTTGGCTGGGTGTGGTGGCTTACACCTGTAATCCCAGCACTTTGAGAAGCCGAGGCAGGAGGATTGCTTGAGGCCAGTAGTTGGAGACCAGCCTGGACAACACAGTGAGACTCCATCTCTACACAAAAAGTTTAAAAAAATTGCCAGGTGTCACACACCTGTAATCCCAGCTATATGGGAGGCTGAGGCAACAAGATCCCTTGAGTCCAGGAGTTGAAGGCTGCAACTTCAACATGCAGTGACTCCTGAATGGGGTCACTGCATTCTAGCCTGGGTGACAGAGTGAGACCCTCTCTCTAAAAAAAACAACAAAAAACCCTTCTTACTAAGAAAAGATGCTGATGTCCCTTTAGCAGGCTAGACGTGAAGGCTGCTGTCTGCCAGAGGTGCTCAGATGGTCACAGGCCCTACTCGCGCCTGTTTATATGAATGTTAGTTGATGTCCTCTCAGTGACCCCAACCCAGGAGCTGGGGAATCTGGGGAGGGGCACCAGTGAGTTCCTGCTTTCCTGCAATCAGGAGGGGCTGGGCATCCAGGCCCACTGGGGCTGGCTCGAATCTGCACAGCCTAGTTCCTCAACTTAAAAGGCTTCCTCAACATGAGGGTCCTCAATACCTAGAAATTCAATAAATACTGCTCTAATCCCCAGATGGGCCCAGCACTGGGGGAAGGGGATACATCAGGCCTGGACTCAGCCCCCAAGCAGCTCACAGAATACAAAGTGAATTCACATAGCTGGTACCACACACCCTGAGATGGTACCAATAGAGTGTGTGGGGGCAGGAAGATGGGAAGGGTCCCTCTAGCTGCCCCGCCTCGAGAGATGGTGACGTGTATGCAGGTGGAGATTGGGGCTGGGATGCAGGGAACAGTACTATCCTGGGTGCAGCATGGAAAAGCCCGGCATGGGGAGAGTGGCTGGGGGAATCCGAGAGAGGACAGGAGCAGCCTGGGTCTGGGAGGGACAGAGGGGTGTGGCTCCCTATTTGTCACCTGCTCTGGGTTCACATAGATGTGCTTCTGGGCACTGGAGTCAACTCACAGAAGCTGGGCCTCAGGAGTTTGTCCACAGACCACGGGTCAAAAACATGAATGTGTCCAGGCTGCTCAGTCATGTGAATGAGAGAAGCCGCCAAACCAGCAATTTACTTCACAAAGAAATGTGCCTGCTCGGCTATTTCTTGAAACATCAGGCTGTCTCAGCACATCATTCATTTCTCACTTTTCTTAGCAGCATGGGTCTCTACTTGAGTGAAATAGAGAACAGATAACCTATTCAGTGGCC